CCCCTTCTCCTCCCTCCCCCCATCTCTCTCTCCACCTCTTTATCTCTTCTCCCATCATAAAAAAAAGACAAAAATAGATGTCAAATATCAAGTTCTATCTTGGTTGTAAAACTCTTTTCATTAACTGGACACGTCATTTTCTCGACAGGGTGGCTACATCCAGACAGGCATGGGCCACATGGGTCAGTTTCGCTTGAAGGACGGGCCGGATCTACTGGGGGAGACGACGCTCACGTCTGCAAGTCCGCAGGCCAACAAGACAGAGTCCAAGAAACACCCCAGCTTGCCCAAAGAGGTACCTAGACTTTTAAGATTGTGTGTGCGCGCGCGTGTGTGTACGGGCGTGTGTGTTTGGATGGGTAGTTGTGTGTGTTTGTGTGAGTGGGTGGGTAGGTATAGGTGTGTGTGTGCGCGTTCGTGCATGCATGTTTGTGGGTGTGTGTGGGTGGATGGGTAGGTATAGATGTGTGTGTGTGCGTGCCTGCGTGCGCAAATGTGAGTGAAATGTTACTGTTGTGCCGGTATACCATTGATGGAACAGTGCGTCTCTCTCACAAGAAAGATGAGTAACTTGGTCTTGCCTTACTGTGCGGATGAAAGAAAAACATTGTAGTTGCTCATTCTTCTTATGACAGCGATGAATAGTTTGTGTCTCTTCCTTCCCCCTTTTCTTGATTCTTCTTCCTCTTCCTACTTTCCCCCTTCTTTTTCCCTCGTTCTCTTTCTCCTTCCTATCCTCCTCTTCCTCCTCATACTATAAGAAAAACATGACAGCATTGATGTGTAGTGAGTTTTTTGGTCTTCCCCTCTCTCTCCTTCCAGGCGGTGGCCATGATGATGGAGTGGCTGCGGAACCACAAAGACAACCCTTACCCTAACGACGACGAGAAAGCCATGCTGATCAAACAGACGGGCCTGTCCATCAACCAGATCAACTATTGGTTCACCAACGCCCGACGACGCATCCTCCCCAAGTGGGCACAGTGCAAAACATGATCCAGACGTACGCACGGTTACGAAAACACAGATTGCCCGTGACAACACGTTTACTCGTAGGACAAAGCAGCACATTCTTGTCGTTAACTTCCTTTCAAGGTTTTCAGGCCCCTTAGAATCGAGACTGAGCTTGTCCCAGTTTCTGTAGAAACTAGATGAGACAGCTTGTATTGGTTTCTGTTGAGACGAGAGGAGCCCCTTGTCGTAGGAGTTGCCAGAAAGTAATGTTGTCTTTGTCAAGTGGCCATCTTCTACAAACCACATGCAGCGCCCGCGGTCGAGCTTCCTCTTCCCACGAGCTCAGTGTGTGTGTATGTGTTTATATGAGCCGTTACCGTAGTGACATCGCTACCTTTCAGATCCGGGTCGCTTGAGGCTTCAGGGTATTTAAACAGTGGTCATAACTCAGGTCTTCAATCAGGTGGATGTTAGAAGGAGGAAGATGCCGGACTGAGGAGGAAAAGAAAACATTAGCCAGAGTGTAAATGTGGACTGATTTTTACCCTGCAGTGGTTCAGCATAGATTCCCATGTCTAAAATTAGTTGAGGGACAGTGGTCCGAACGAGTCAAATGAGTCAGTTCTGGTTCTATGTCCCTGGACGCTCCAACTCAGGTCAAGCCAAAGATGGTCATGTTGTTGTTGTTACTGTGAGGAGGAAAGCCCTAACGCCTTGCGTTGAGTTGGATGATGAGAGGGTTTGCCCTGTAGAGAGTTTCCCTCGATGAAGATAAGAATTAAAAGGGTGGCGGTAGTGCAGTGGTTGTGGTTGACGCATCTTAACGAATGCTTCTCTGCCATGTGTTGCTGGCTGTGTTATGTGAGCCCGATGTGCACACAGTGTCATTGGGAGTTCCCTATGTGCTGTATTGGCTCCAGTGAAGCATTCTGTAACAACATGAAGCGCAGCGCGTCATTTATGTATGCCATGTATGTGCATCATGTAAATATCTGCACTCATGCATCTGTTGTATCTGTGCACACTATATGGTGTTGTGGGATGTTGCTGAGGAGAGATGAGCCGCTGTGAACAGGTTCACGTTTGAGGAGAACAGGATGGAAATGAAGACTGACTGTTTGATCAGTTACAGCGTCCTGGCAGGGGAGGGAGAGAAAAGTCTCAGGTTTTATTGCTGCTGTCTTACTGCCAAAGGAGAACAAGAAGTGTCATGAGTGAGGTCATGCAGTGTTGTGACATGCTGGAACTATGATGGTCAGATGCAGGGTCTGTGACTATCTTTTAGTTTCCTGAAGTTCTAGATCTGTGGAGGTCTTCTTCCGTGAATTTCTAGAGCAGTAACAATGTTTTCTTTTGGCTAAGAGCTGGTTACAGAGTATATGTGTACAGATTTAGAGTCTACTTTTGTTTGCAAGGTTGATCCAGGGGGAGGGGAGCTTCAGTTTCTCGTGATTTTGACACACACTGAAGACAGGAGTGACAACGTCACGTAGATGTCTGAACATATGTCTTCTTCCAAACTGCTGTAGAGGAGAGCAGCCACAACCACCACCACCACCACTACCACTACCACTACCGTCTTCATCATCATTATCATCACGCCAACAACTTGGTCGTCGTTGTCATCGTCAATGTTGCAATCATCCGTTTTGTCACGGCTAGAGACCCACCTGTAGTGAGATGAGATGTGGTTAGACTTTAGAGGGGAGCGAAGAATCTGTCGCTGTCGTATGTCGGAGATTATGTTGCTGCCGTATGTGGACGCTGTGAACACACTTGTTGCATTTATTGCCCATG